TCCTCCAACTCTCTGGCCAAGTCTGCTCTCTGCTTCTCCACCTTGGCTCGAGCAGCTCGTTCTGCTTCAAGCTCTTCCTCCAGCTCTTCTATGCGGGCCTGTTTAAAAACAATACCCATTTCTTACATTTTATTCAGGATTTCATCAATGTTTCGAAGTTTTATGGATTATTGATTACCTGAAGCTCCTTTAGTTTCTTCTGAAGCTGAATTGCAATGGCTTGCTCATCCTCGATTTTGTTATTTAGCTGATTTAGTTCAAAGTCTTTCCTGTTGTGAAAAGTGAAGTTAGAAATCTATATTTAGGAATATGTGCCATCCTGCAATAAAATGTGTTTTTTAGTTATCACGTACTTCTTGAGATGCTCTTCAAGTTGTTGCTTGTCATTCTCAACATCCATCAGACTTTCATGGGTCAACTTTAAGTCTCCCTCCAGCTTCCTTTTTACTCTCTCAAGGTCCAGCCTGATCTTCTTTTCTTGCTCCAGGGAACCTTCAAGCTGAATTTTATCAATAAACAATCAAACAAAGATCCTTCTTAGACTAAGATAAAAATATTTACTTTGAGTACAGATTATTTTCATAATATAAGTTATATTTTCAGTCTTACATCATCAACTTGCTGCTCCAGCTTCGCCTTGGCCTTGGTCAGAGTGTTGACTTTGTCTTCTTCACTCTGCAGGTCATCCAGAGTTTGTTGATGAGCTTCCTGTAAAGCTTTCTTTTCCTTGGTCAGCTTGGCGATGATTTCATCCAAAGCAGCCATCTCTTCAACCAGGTTTTTAACCTGGTTAATAAACCAAATAAATGTGTTATTGCCCAAAAAATACTAGTTTATCTTCTGATATATAGAATTCAAAATGCAAACCTTGTTTTCAGTTGCATGCTTCTCTTTCTCCACTTTGGCCAAAGTTAGCTCCAAGTCATCAATATCCTTCTTTAACTCAGAGCACTCATCCTCCAGCTTCCTCTTCTTTGCAGTCAGTTCTGCATTGATTTCCTCTTCGTCCTCCAGTCTCTCAGAAAGCTCTTTGGCTTTTGCTTCCATTTGAATTTTATGTTTGATCAGTCCCTCACATCTCTCCTCTGCATCAGCAAGATTATCTTGCTCCTAAATGGTCATTGTATTGAGAACATTGTTGGAGCAACGATATATAACGTAAAAGCTGTTTGTCTTATTGTTGAAGTTGTGAGACTTACAGCCTGGACTTGGAGCTGCAGGTCATTTTTCTCTTGGAGAAGAGAGACAGTTTTCTCCTCCAGCTCTTTCCTGCGTGCTTCAGATTTTGCATAAGCCTCCTTCAGCTTCAGGAACTCCTCCTTCATGTTGGCCATCTCCTTTTCTGCTTCAGCAGATTTCAGGAGAGGTTTNGCTTCAGATTTTGCATAAGCCTCCTTCAGCTTCAGGAACTCCTCCTTCATGTTGGCCATCTCCTTTTCTGCTTCAGCAGATTTCAGGAGAGGTTTGATCTTGAAGTACAACTTCATCCAGGGCCAATTCTTGACCCCCATGAAGGCTCGGATGTTCCACTGGATCACATGTAGTGCATCCCTGTCATAGATCAACAGTTGTTAATGTTTTTACATAATTTTCTTTCAGCTGTACAGCTCTTGTGTTAGTTAAAATGTCTTCATACCTCCTTTCAACAATCTTCTGGAATTCCAACCTTGCAAGTAAACCTCTGGATCTGGCTTGGATTCCAGTGATTATGAGGGACAAACGGTCGTCCCTCATCTCCTCCAGCTGACCAAGAAGACCAGCTTTAAAGAACACCTGTAATAGACATGGGACCAGATGTAAGTACTTACTAACTAAGGGCTATAAAATTTGAGGACTTTTTTAGTCATGACAGTTTCAAAATATAAGTTAAAAGAATCAAAGACAATTAAAAATTGGGCTGAAGAGTTATCTTGTAATTCAGCTGTATATTAGTCACATAAGTACAAATCATTTTTCGTGCTGAAATTCACAATGTTCATTGTGTTGTATTCAATTACCTTAGTGTGCCCAAACTTGTACTGGTTATGGTCAATATCAAGAGATCCAAGAAGTTTTTCAGCTCCCTTTCGGCTGTCAATGAACTGTCCCTCAGGGATGGCAGCAGGATTCAAGATTCGATACCTGAAAAAATCCCATATCTTAGTCACACATTAAAGCATTGCGTTTTAATTTTTGGACATACTAAAGTGATACCTCTGCTTGAAGTCTCCATAGAGGATCCTGTTGGGGAAGCCTTTCCTGCAGATCCTGATGCCTTCCAGCACACCGTTACAGCGCAGCTGGTGCATCACCAGAGGGTTCTCCATGGCCCCAGGAGTCTTGGTCTCATTGGGGATGATGCAGCGCACGAAGTGAGGGTGGGTAGACCTCAGGTTGGTCATCAATTTATTCAGGTTTTCCTGTGCAACACAAATCCAATTTTTATGAGTTTGTGTGAATGCAACAATATATCGGTTTCTGACGGTAATCTGTTTACATTCTCATATATTTGACATTACTTACCCTGTGAAGGGCAGATACAGTTTGAAAGGAGGATCCCTTCTTCTTGCTTCCTCCACCCTTGCCACCCTTTCCACTATCAGCTATTTGGTAATATAAAAGTATTTACATTGAAATAATAAACACATACATTCAGTTACTTCACCAGTCTTAAGTGTAATATGATATTAGCACTGATAGAGTAGAAACAACTTTTACTTGAATCAGAGCCTGCATAATTTGCAAACAGCATCGCCAACAGTTTGAGTGTAGACTTCTGGTACAGCCCAACTACAGTCTCATTCAGAGGGTCCTTGTTCTTCACCAACCAGTTGTTGATATTATAGTCAACAGTCCCAGCATAATGAACCAGGGCAAAATGGGCCTCTGGTTTTCCTTTAACAATCCTGGGTTTCTGGAAGTTGTTGGATTTCCCCAGATGATTGTCATAAAGCTTAGCTTTAAACGTAGCATCAGAGGCTTTGGGAAACATGCACTCCTCTTCAAGGATGGACATGATACCCATGGGCTAAAATTAAAACATGAGAGGTTAAATTAGGATTATTGAATTTATCAATTTATTTAATAATCTGGTTTCTCACCTTTTCAATCAGGTCAATACAGGCCTGTAGATCCATACCAAAGTCAATAAANAAAATGGGCCTCTGGTTTTCCTTTAACAATCCTGGGTTTCTGGAAGTTGTTGGATTTCCCCAGATGATTGTCATAAAGCTTAGCTTTAAACGTAGCATCACAGGCTTTGGGAAACATGCACTCCTCTTCAAGGATGGACATGATACCCATGGGCTAAAATTAAAACATGAAATGTTAAAATCAGATTATTGAATTTATCAATTTATTTAATAATCTGGTTTCTCACCTTTTCAATCAGGTCAATACAGGCCTGTAGATCCATACCAAAGTCAATAAAAGTCCATTCAATCCCCTCTTTCTTGTACTCTTCCTGCTCCAACACAAACATGTGGTGGTTGAAAAACTGTTGCAGTTTTTCATTGGTGAAGTTGATGCACAGCTGCTCGAAGGTGTTGAACTAGAAATTGACAGCAGTGTATTTTAATGTTTACATCCTACCTGATACAATATTAAAAACAAGTAGTTGTACACAGAGTAAAATTATATGAAATCACACAGATAATTCTCACATCAAAGATCTCAAATCCAGCAATATCCAGCACTCCTATGAAGTACTGTCGAGGCTGCCTGGTGTCCAGGGAATGGTTTATCCTCACCACCATCCACAGAAACATTTTCTCATACACAGACTTAGCCAAAGCCCCAATAGCATAGTACACCTGAAAAAGAAATATGAGTTTAAAATATTATGATATGTGCCCTGGTTATTATAGATATGATTTGTATTAAACATAAGGGTTGTCAATCTAAGCAATAGAAGGATTTTTTTTTTTTTTTATCCCTACCTGTTGAACATTTTGCCCTTTAGTGACCCACTCATTTCCTACTTTGACTCTTGGATGACAGAGACCTTTGATGAGGTCAGCAGAGTTCAGGCCCATCAGATAAGCTGCTTTGTCAGCATCTGAAAATAAATGAATGCAGTTTTTTCTAAACACAAATCTAATTTGTAAAACTTGTCAGGTTTTCCCAGTCATAGAGCTCCTTTCTCACCTTCAGTGCCATCGGCCTCTGCCTGCTCTTCACGCTGCTTGTTCTTATACTTCATGTTACCAAAGTGCATGATGGCACCGGTCAGTTTGTAAATACCATTTTTTTCCTCTTGGGTAAAGCCCAACACATCAAAGGCCTCCTGCATGAAAATAAGATAATATGGATGTAAAAATAAAAACATCAAGTGGTGAAAATATTTAATTAATTTCAATTCAATTTTTATTCAGTTTATATATATAGCGCCAATTCACAACACCTGACATCTCAAGGTACTTTACAATTCAACCAGATCGCACAGTTAAATTGATTCAAAGTTTTCTATCTAAGGAAAACCAGTTGATTGCATCGATTCATTGACTTGAAGGCAATCCCTCACACTAAGCATGCTTGTAGCGACAGTGGAGAAGAAAAACTCCCTTTTAACAGGAAGAAATCTCCAGCAGAACAAGACTGAAGTTAAGTGAATTGTAGGACCAATGCCCTATGAGCCGCTAACATCCAGATGTAGTTCATCACCACTGTGATTTCACTTTAAACCATATCTAATATATTTTTTCTCTTAATCAGTGACCACTAAGAGATGATTTCTAACATGTCTGTTATAGATAGTTATGCAAGTGTCACACCAACTAAATGTTTAAATTTTCTAGTTTTTTTATGCGGGTAAATTTATAAATAAAACAACTTTATGCATTAAATGTACAGATCACTTGTACTCTGTAAAATAATCCCTACTCACATCAGTAGCTATCAGCTCTTCGGCATCATTTATGGAGGCCACTGTTGTCTCTCCTTGGGAGATGAAGGCGTAGTCATACGGGTTGCTGGTAATGAGCAACATTTCTGTAAAGCAGATCAGGTAGATTTTCTATAAATGGTTTTAATGCAATGGTGAAATATTCAATTTTCACTAATGTTTTTATGCCATTATTTTTATTTACCAAGCAGCTCAGGTTTCCTCTGAGACAGTATCTGATAGAAGATGTGATAATCTCTCTCAGCTTTGAGCTGAAAGGTAACTCTAGACTTTTCCAGCAGATCTGTAAAGAGATTTGCATCATGTAGGTAGAATGAAAGTCATTTTGGATATAAAAACAGAGGTATAGAAAGAGGATGCCACTTACATGTCTCAATATCAGCTGAGGCCAGCTTTCCACTGGCAGCAAAATGAATACGGATAAATTTTCCCTAAAACAAAAGATGTGAAGAAAACTTAGATTGTGATATATGTAGCAGGAATCAGTAAATTGCAGAAAGAAACGTACAAATCTGGAAGAGTTATCATTCCTGATGGTCTTTGCGTTCCCAAATGCTTCTAACGCCGGGTTGCACTGGATGATTTGATCCTCCAGAGTACCCTAACAAAATGCAAAGAAACTTGCTCTTAAAGAAGTGTGACAAAGGCAAAATGGTTGTTAACACAGTCAACGGAGGAGGGTTGATCTCTTGCAAAATGAAAAATGGAACCTTTTTCTCAGAGCTGGCTTCTTTTTTCCCACCTCCAGCTGCAATGCTGGCAAAGTACTGAATGACTCTCTTGGTGTTGACAGTTTTCCCAGCACCAGATTCTCCACTGTAGACAAACGAAATAAAGGATGTAATCTTGTCAAACTATTTTTTACCCCAATAATTACAACTTATTATGTTTCAAAAATATAATTCTAAATGTTTGAGATTTTTATTTGTAGACCAACACAAACCATAAATGTAAAGAGGGAAACGATACTTGGTTACAAATGATGAAGGTGGATTGTACATATGCATTGGGCGCCCTTTAATCTCATACTATGATTTAAAAAATCCAAGGCACACAACTACCTACAGTAAAAAAAAAAAAAAAAAGTCCTACTAATTTTAGTATATTTGTAGCTCTCCTGTGAAAACTCAGACTTGTGAGAAATAACATTCATTAACAAAAGCATCATGAGGGAGGGGCACTTGCTAGAAAGACTGGGGATGTAGATATAGAAACATTTAAAGCTTGGGGCATACAACAATCCCACACTTGAACATCTAGAGCTCTGTTCAGTTCTTCATCAAAAAACTTAGTATTGAATGGGAATAAGCCTCAAGAGGAAGGGCTGTTACCCTAAACTCTCAGGCATTTTGAGGAGGGAATTATACAGAAGCAGCTGCAGAGATTCACAGCTCAGGAAAGAAAACCAGTCAACAGGTTGCCTGTTAGTCATGCACTCCAAAATATCTGCAGTTAAGAAAACAGATTGATATAAGAGGGGTTGTTTGCAGTTCTCTACAAGCCATGCAGAAGACACCACAAACAAATAAAATACATGAATTTAGTCAGCTGGAACTAGAGTATTTTTCATTTTATCATACATGCAAAATGCTGTGCATAGTAGAATAATAGCACATGGAAAAGACCATCCCCACAGTCACACAGCAGCACCATGCTGTGGGGATCTGTTCTTTAAGGTAATCTGTAGTGGTAAATACAGGACATTGCTAAATCACCGCACACTTCAGATTTATATTTCTTGAAAAACATAAACAGCCATGTAACATTTTTTCCTTCCTCTTCACAATTATGAGGTACTTGGTCTTGTTCTAGACATTAAAATACTGGTAAACATTAAGTTTTGCTGTTATTTGGGTGATAAGTTCAAGTTCTGTAAGTTCAAGCATCTACTAACTATCAAGCGAATGAAAAAACAAAGATAGGTAAAAAAAAAAATATCTCACAACATTTAGAGAGCAGCAAAGAAAAAGACAACATACGTGATGAGAATGGACTGATTTTCTCTGTCTGGAAAAAAAAATTGAAAAGGATAACATAAGGATTTTGTCTTTTTTTTCCACCTCACTGGATTAAGAATGCATTGGGAGTTACCCGTTAGCATGTACTGATAGGCATTATCAGAGATGGAGAAGATGTGAGGAGGAGCTTCGCTCCTCTTCTTTCCTCTGTAGGCAACGACCACCTCCTGGTTGTAGACTGGCAGCCACTTGTAGGGGTTGACAGTCACACAGAACAGCCCAGAGTAGGTCTGAGGGAATCATGAAATTAAACCATAAAAAAAATTAGATCTGAATAACTTTGTTATAAATAGGGGTGGAAATGTAATATTTATTTTACTTTTAACTCACATAGATCATCCATGCTGCGTAACGCTCTTTGAGGTTAAACAGCACAGCTGGCTCATGGAGGAAGGTGAACATCGCCATGTCTTCAATTTTATCAAACTTAGGTGGGTTCTGGGGGTGAATATCACACTCCTTCACGGTGACCGTCTGAAAACAAACGGTTTACTGTTAACAGGCTGTTTTTACCTTCATTTAGCAGCCTTGCCTTTGTTCACTCACCTTCCCCTTTTCTGTCTGAGCAGTGACTTTGTCACCCTCACGACTTATAACTGAAGCTTTTACGTACTCCTCGTCAGGGTCGGGAACAAAACACTGCTTCTTCATGTCAAACGGACGGGTCTGGGCCTCCAGACGCTCCCTGTCTGACTTCCTCAGGTATGGAGCTGCTGCCCCAAATTCTTTCATGGCAGCGTCACCCATCTTTCACCTGGTCAGCTAAAAAGCATTTTTCTCTTAATGCAGTTCACCTATTTGAATGTGTTGGTATTACTGATTCACTGCCATATTTTTCTGTTTTAAGTTTTTAGATGTTCTTACCTTATCAACTTCTTGGAGGACTGATGTGAAAAAGGCCCTGAGAAAAATAGAAATAAAATAAAACAAATGGAAAGAGATAACACCAGTAGGGTTTGGTATCAAGGTTAAGAATAAGGTTTTGTCTTCATGCCTTACCTTGAGACAGAATGGTGACATGTTGGGGGCTCCTCTGTGACTTCTCCTTATAAATAAAACCCCTTTGCCTAATATGGAGAAGAGCTTTAGGACCAGGAATGTTATTGTGTCAGTGTTTGGTTCGAGGGTTTAGGAAGGGAGGGGGTTAATGAGAGGTGGAGAGCAATATAGAAATCAGGGGATCAGGGTCTTATCAGAGATGGGGTTCCCCCCATAAAGCCATATTAGGCCCTCCATGCAGTGCAGTGATTACTCTTAAGTATTCAAATGCAACCAGAGGACCACAAATAACAGCATGATTCACCCTACAAGTTTTTTCTCCTTTTTTAAAAATTGTTTTTTTATTTTCTACAATAATTTTATTGAATCGAATCCAATTTTATTTGTTAAGCACTTTAAAACAACTGCAGCTGACCAAAGTGCTGTACAGAGAAAATAAATTGATAAAACAGTACAGATTTTTTTTTTTAACTAAAACATGGGAAAAAAATAAGGTTCTTTATTCTTTTACTGCATTGTGAGATGGTCTCATTTTTAGTGTCAGATGTTTTTTGAATTTCAATACACTCAGCCCTAGAAAACAGGCTGATATAAGAGTTATTGCACATGAGGATAATACAGGACTGCAGTTCAAATATATCTAAAACAAAAAATTTCAGCTGCAACTCCCATTAGAACTCTCTTAACAGATCAGGAAATTGAATAATTAAGAATAATTTAAAGAGAAAAAAATTCAAAGCTGATCTACAATAGCTTTCTTAAAGTGAAACTTGTGTCACTGCCAAATAACTTTAACCCTTTAAAGTCTGGACTGTTTCTTATTAGAGTTGTCAATTAACTTTCTAACAAATAAGATAAAACATACCTTTTGAATAAGTTAAATTAGAGCATTTGTTTGCATCAATTTTGATACATTAAGCCTTTCTGTATACTGCATTTCACACATTTTCTGTTCACTATATGTGTCTGATGCTGTAAGTCAGGGTTCTCAAGAACAAAAATATCACATTGATAATGCTCACACTGATAACGGGTCTCAAAACACAAGTATAAAATATGATACACTTGGCTTTTAAGGGTTAAATGATTCTGATCCTATAAAGATTATGGTTTAACAGTCTTTATTTTAGAAAATAAACATCAGTACATAGCATACTGTATATGCTGTTTATGCATCTTGTAAAGCAGTTGAAAACAGTTCTTTAACTGTTGTTAGGTTTTTCTCTCAGAACAAATAATGCCATACATGTAAATTAGTGGTATTGTTTTCCAAACACAAAGGAGGATGGACATTGTACTTCAGTGAAGTATCTCCTCTATGGGTCTCCATTACTTTCAGGGCTTAAGTGGAGCCTCACTGTGGCATGAGTCACCAATTGTGTTTGGTTATTGCAGAGCGGACTTCATGGTAACAACAGCAGTCATCACATAGAGGGGGAGCTGGTCTAAATAAAGAACACTATTCTGTGAGATTAACCAAAGGCAGAAACGAGGCAGCACAGACAAAGGTCTGCCACAGGTGGACATGCCTTGGATTCATTCAATGGCAGTAAATATTCCAAGCAGCGGAGGGCTGGAGCAGCATGATGAGCTCTAATGTCAGAGCAGGAGCCTGAAAAAGCTGGCTCCTCAGTAACTGGCCTGTTGACATGGGAGTGTGGCTTTTTGCAGACAAAGATAACAGTGTGAGATTCCTCCCAAGAACCTCACAGAGTGTGGAGAACAGTCAGGATAAAATTTTGCCAGCATGTAGGATCAACCATAGCTCTGGTGTTGGTCTCAGATATCTTAAAATTGGAAAGCATGGCCTCTTGTGTTTCAACTTATTCACCATATTATCATTCACTGTTTGAGCTACATAACACATATATTCATAGCCACTATGAGCCATAACTGCAGCCCCTTCAAAGGTTAAGAGATAAAAGGAGGGTCAACAGCTGCTGAGAGCTGAGATTATTTCCATTGTGATAACTTCTCCGGACCTACGCTGAGAGTTGGCGTCAGTGAGCTAAATGGAAGTTAGAGATTCCATGCTGTCTGCTAAAGAGCAGGCGGAAATCACTCCAACCTCAAACATCTGATGTCTACTCTTTATATAAACATGATTTAATTTAAATTAACGTGACTAAAACACTTATACATGCCATGACAAATGTATATTGTCATCACATGTATCTAATTAAATCAAAACATTAAAGGGTGGTGTGAGGAGCAGTTTGTCCCCTACTGTAAACACACACATGATTTATTTTGGGTCCGGGCTCATGGAGAATTAGCAGCTCAACATACTGTTTGTCAATTTTTCAATGAACAGGTATTTTATATTATATACAAAATATTATTTTGGGGTTTCTTTTATTTTTAATTTACAAATCGGTAGCTTTAGATACAATATCTCATTATGTTCCTATGAAACAAAATATAAGGTCTATTTCAACAACAGTAATGTGTTTAATTTTTTTATTATTTTTTTTTATTTTGCGGTTCAGTTAAGAACAGAAAATATAAAATCGTGTCGGTTCAACACAAAATATGATTTAACTGCAGATACATTAAATTGTTTCCTTTTGCTCCTTTCTCATTGCAAGCTCAGAAATCGTGTTAATCTTGCTGATAAGCCTCCACACACCACTGAGCAGAGGTGTAAATATGTCTTCATTAGCTGGTAGATATCTGCCTGTCAGCCAGAGGAGTATAAGACAGGACATGTAATAGGAGAAGACACGGCACTTCCTGAAGTTCCCCCTATAGGAATCTGGGGGTTCATCTCTGCTCACTTCATAATATTGTTTATGAAGTGAATTTAGTAAATATTTTTTAGACGACGTTTTACTTCTACTCCTTACATTTTTTTTGCAATTATCTGTACTTTCTTCTCCTTATCCCTAATTGCTCGCACAATGGTAGCCCACTGCTCCCCAAGGGGATGGGTTGAATACAGAGGTAAATTTTCCCAATGTGAGATAAATAAAATGCAGTTATATTTCTAAATATAATTACATTTTAAAAACAGACTTATTAGTTTTGTTTCATTTGAGCTCTTTATCATTATGGCCTGTTAGTATTTAAAATAAATAAAACCCATCAAAATAATTTGTTTTATTCAGACAATTATTGTCTTTGTGGTTGGACACGGTACTGCACCAACTTGTTGGTCGCCACATATCAAAATAAATAGTTTTTTCAAGCTCCATAGTTTAATTTGACACTGTTGCCCTTAGTTATAAAACTAAGCAAATTAACTATAAGGAAATTATCATCCAGAATTGTTGAAAAATGTTCCTCTAATAGGTTGCACAGTAACCAGTATAAGGTTTAAATCATTTGTCCTTTGCATTTTTCCTGCTTTATTTTTACTCTTATACTTTAAGAAGTTTTAAAAATTGTACTTTTACGCTTTCACCGGAGTAGAAAAACTTAAGTTGATACTTACAAAAGTAAAAAAAAAAAAATAGAATTTCTACTTCTACTTGAGTAAATAACGTTAATACTTTTGACACCTCTGTTTACTTAAATTATTACACATCAACCATGTTTGCCATTGTGATTTTTTTTCTGTTTCTGTTCATTTATTTTGGTACATATAGGGATATATATTTTTGTACTGAATCACTAAGCTCGCCTCTAGTTCTCAGTGGGACTATGCAGATTTTAGCCATGATCCAGTGACCAGCTGCGAGTGATCATGTGTGGAATTATGGTGGATTTATGCCTGAGCTCTGGTTTATTGATGACCTTAGCTGGAGCTCTTGGGCTTTAGTTGACTCTAATTTAAGAGCAGGGCATTTGCTTTATCTCCAAGCTATATCTGCACCTCAGCTTTTTAGTTTTTAGATATTTTTGAACCATATTGCATGCTGTATTGTTGTATTTGGGTCTAAACCTTGTTGTCCTAATGCATCCCTGAACCCAATCATGACTTACATGTCTAGTGAAAGCCTCAAAGAAACATTTTATGAAATTAGGACACAGAGGTACTGCATGGGGGTCGCAAAAGTTTTGGTTGATTAGACTTTTTTCTTTCCGTGCAATTTTTTCCACTAATTTAAATGTCTTTAAATACACCTTAACATGAATTCAACCAACTGTAGTAAACAGATAAATGGAGGCAGAAAATGTCTTTCAGTCATCAATGCACACATTGGTGGGCACCTTTTCATTTACAACACCTGTCCCATCAACGAGGAATCTGAATCAGAAATACTTTAATAATCCCAGATGAAATTACTTTCATTACATGACTCCATCTGTAATAGAGTGACTATAGGACCAGTTTGATATAACACAATTTCATACAATATATATAATTAGGGGGTCCCCGCTCCATTTCTCCATCAGTTTGGGGTCCTCGGCCTGGGAAATGTTGAAGACCCCTGCTTTAGACAAATGGGCCACTACACTTCTTGTCATCATCAACAAGCTTCTAATGAGTCCACTCCTATCTGGCTCCCAAAAGGTCATCCTCGGGTGAAGAGATTGGTGAGGATGCTTGGCAAAACCGAGGAAACTGCTGTGAACCGGAAATTGCTTGAAAATCAGCCTCAGTGTCCACAGTGAGGAAAGTTTTACAATCCAGGGATGCTGGGTACTATTCTTCTAGTCAGGAACTTTCAAAGTTATTTCAAATAATTTTATTACTGAAAAGCCAGAGTAGCTGAGTTAGTTTGGCCACAAGGACAGGAGTATACCTTGGAAAGACCTTAAAAACAAAGAATACAGTACGAAGTACGCTGGTGGTGGCAGGGTCATTCTCTACCAGAGAGGTTGGTGCATTACACAAAAGTGGAATAGAGGATAGTTGATGGCAAAAACATAAAGACATTTGGAAATTCCAAAAGGAAAAAATCCACCAAAGTCACCACTGTTTTTTAAACAGAATAAGCAAATGAATAAGCTTCTTGGATAACACCACGCCCAAGTCTGTACAAAAAAACATCTTCTGAAGGTGTTTGTTTTAAGTATGGAAAAAGAGAATAATGAAGTCAATCTATCTATGCATCTATACATCCATCCATCCATCCATCCATCTGTCCTTCCATTTCCTTTTTTTCCTTATTTCCCGCCTTCAGCCCTTTATTTTCAATTCCTCCCTTACCTTTTCTTTTCCTCTTTTCTTCCCATTTTTCTTCCTTCTTACAATTTACTCTGTCTTCATTCTCTTCCTTCTGCCCTATTATCCCTTCTTCCTCTCTTAAGAAAACTGGAATATTTCAGAATAAAAGCCTAAGTTTAAAATGTTCTTGTCAATAATGAGTGTGTGTAGCTGTTAACACGATCTGTAGGTCATGTTTTACCTTCACTCATATTTAACAAATTGAGTTGACAATGATTGTTGACTGTATTTACATTCATTTTGCTTTAACATTTCACATAAGGGAATACAATTTATCAAACAGAATGCAATTGATATAAATTAAATTATGAATATTTCTAATCATTTTCCATACCTGCTATGTTAAAGAACTATCACTAAAGATCATGTTCAAAAGAGTCAGCCTTTATACATTGTTTGCCACAATTTCACATTTCAATTGAGGGGAAAATATACCTAATCAAGAAATTCAAAATGTGTAAGAAACATTATCTTGTAATTATTTTTCAATCCATTTTTGATCAAAGTGAAAAAAAAGTCATGAAAGACAAGAATATGCTGTGTTCAAAGTCTTAGTGTAATTTTATTAGGACTACAGGTTATGAATAGTGATAACTGAGGGGGGGCTAAATTACGCAACAGGCAGAAAGGTTTCAGCCGGCTCCAAAGCTTCACTCCTCATCAAACCCTTTCTGTTGCAGAGATTTGGAAATAAAAAAAAGAGAAACAGTCATTTAATATTCATAATGGAGTGTCAGCAAACAGTTAAGCAATGTATATATTTATAGATTATTGCATTGCAGTGTTATAGCAAATTTCAAGGAGGTGTGTTGCCTAAAGTAACATGCTTCAAACCTTTGGGCCAGCGTCACGGCTTTTAGCCCGCAGCTTGTTGACTTGAGACTCAGCGATGTCAGCTCTCTCTTCAGCTTCGTCCAGCTCATGCTGCAGCTTTCGAAACTTAGAAAGATGAACATTAGCCTGTTCCTCCTGGAAAAACATTAAAACATAAAAGTAAACACAAATACCAATCAGAGAAGAGAAAACTTTTGTCATTATCAGACTTACAGCCTCCTCAGCAGATCTTTTGTAAGCTTTCACTTTCAGCTGCAGTTTGTCCACCAAGTCTTGCAGTCGGGCAATATTTTTTCTATCTTCCTCAGTCTGTAAAAGATACGAGACAATGTTACAAACCCAAATACTTCTCAAAGAAGTTTTAAAAAACTGAGGAAGGCATTTTCAACAAACCTGATAGGTAAGCTCTTTGATGCGGCGCTCATATTTGCGGACTCCTTTCACAGCTTCGCTGCTTTTCTTCTGTTCCATTTCTACTTCACTTTCTAGTTCCCGCACCTTAAAAAGAACATTTGTATGTAATTTTCCATTCTTTTTGTTTGGATTGCGAATAAATGTATGTATTTTCTGCACATATCTTTAAAACTGATTTGAAAACTCACCCTGGCCTCCAGCTTCTGGACCTGCTTCTTGCCTCCCTTCATGGCGATTTGTTCCGCTTCATCCAAACGGTGCTGCAGATCTTTGATGGTTTGCTCCATGTTCTTCTTCATNAGGGCTTCATTCCTGCTACGACACTCAGCCTCAAGAGAACTCTGCAGGGTATCGATTGTCCTCTGCAGGTTCCTCTTGCACTGCTCCATCTCCTCTTCTTTCTCAGCCACCTTTCGCTCCATCTCAGCCTTAATCTGGTTAAACTCAAGCTGAACTCTCAGTATCTTGCCTTCCTCATGCTCAAGAGACCCCTACGAAACCATTTAGGTTGAATTAGAACTTGTGTATTTTAAAGTCTTTTAAAATGCTTGGTGTTAGCTTTACCTCTGCCTCCTCTAAGGCAGACTGAATTTCACCCTTCTCCTGCTCCAGCTGCTTTCGTGCTTTTTCCAACTCATGAATAGTTTTTCCTCCTTCACCAAGTTGCTCAGTGAGGTCAGAAATTTCCTCTGTGAATAAGAGTGCATGTATTCAGTTTGGTCTGCCTATTTGATATTTATTACATTGTAATTAATAAAGTATTTACCTTGAAGGTTCTTATTCTCCCTCTTCATGGTCTCCAGATGTTCAAGAGACTCTTCATAGGAGTTTTTAAGTTTGAAGAGCTCAGTGCTCAGAGATCTGGCTTCTTTCTGAGCGCTCTCCAGCTCACACTGAGACTCTTCATACTTCTGCTTCCACTCTGACAGGACCTGGACATTATGCATAAAAAAATATTTACCAAACCGAGCTCTCTGCTGTTCATTTTTACAGTAATTAATTTCTAATTTCTTCTTTGGTTGTATGTCTAGATATATAAGGCTATTTCAATTATAAAATGTAAAATACATCTTAAACAACAATGCAGCAACCTTATACTTTATATTTCTCTTTTTAAGTATTTAACTAAAACTTTGTCAAAATGCAAAAGTTTTTGAGGTAAAACTTATTATCTTTTTCCAAAATGTTTCAGTCTGTGACCCACAAAGTGGTGCCAAATTAGACTCATGACCCAAACTTTTGATTCACTATCAAAACATTTCTATAAAATCTACTAACAGTGGGATGTAATCCTATTACAAACAGCATCAATTATCATTTAATTTCTGTAGTGGATCTAAAGACCACTAGTGATTGAAGTCCCCAAATGGACTCAAGACCTCAGCATTGGGAATAAATTAGAATAATAGGCTCTTAATAGGATTTTCTTTATATTAGGGTTAACGATGGTACAAGTAGCCTAACACTTAACAGGTATGTGATGCCTGTGAGTTGCATTTCCTCTTAAAAAATTGAGGTAGCACATGTTGGAAAGATGCATCTGAAGAATCAATCACACTTTAGTGATGAATAGACAAGGAAGAGGTGGCTCTGTATTTGTTGTTGACATACTGTCAGGTTTAGGGTTGATTGACTGATCGTTTTGACATGACTTTAGAATAATTATACCTTGTAGTCCTTTATTCACTCATGAACTCCTCTCCATACCAATGCATTTTTCTAATAGTAATGTTAAATTATCAGTCCTGGGACGTAAGTTTGCCTGTAATTAGTAATTGCTTTTTACAACAGCACAATTAATCCTAAACATTCGCAACAAACGGTTGGGCTAAAAAAAAAGGTACGGTAATCTACTTATCTAGTCTAGATTCCAACCAGAACAAGGAAGAGTTCAACATACTTCTTTTGCAATTTGAGATTTGTTTAAAAAGTCTTTGTCTTATTATTATGTTTACTTATATTTGGTTAAATAAATAATCACAGGCTATACTTTGAGTAATGTGTTATTTAGAAAGTTCTGGTCCGGGATATTTTTAGGAACTAGTGTGACACAGATGAGCCAGAGTTCTAGACATGGTTAACCTGTTTGTTTTCGTGAAGGCTGCCATGCCACTGAACCAGCCTATGAGAGTTTTTGTAATGGGATGTGTTGAGAAAGAGCATTTCTATATGTCTTTGGTTATAGTCGGTTTATTTCCCTGTTACCTCCTTTATTAATGTTACTGTTCTTTTTTTTTAATTAGGGCTTGTTTTGATTTTAAAAGAAATATCCAACATACTTTGTCAAAGTTCCTTTGCTTCTTGTCCAGAGAAGCAGCAGCAGCATTAGACCTCTCCACATCCACCATGAGATCTTCAATCTCATTCTGCAGCCTGTGTTTGGTCTTCTCCAGAGAGGAACATTTAGNTGCAGTAGCTGCACCCTCTCGCTAACATCCAGCAGCTCTTGCTCAGCCAGTTTACGGCTCCGTTCAGTTTGCTCCAGAGCAGCTCTCAGTTCCTCCAGTTCAGCTTGAAGCAGGTTGTTGCGTCTCTCAACTATGGCCATGTTCTCTTTGAAATCCTCATTACCACGAAGAGACTCATCCAGCTGAATTTGGCAGTCCTTTAAAAAATGGTATTGCTCATAATAATCTCAGCAGTATTTTTAGAACTCTCTTTAAAAAGTGGGTTTCTTTAGTTTAGTTTACCTTTAGATGTGCATGAACAGACTTGAGTTGTTTCTGGGCCTCAGCCGCCTGCCGGTTGGCTTGGCTCAGCTGGATCTCCATCTCATTGAGGTCTCCCTCCATCTTCTTTTTCAGACGAAGGGCTTCATTCCTGCTACGACACTCAGCCTCAAGAGAACTCTGCAGGGTATCGATTGTCCTCTGCAGGTTCCTCTTGCACTGCTCCATCTCCTCTTCTTTCTCAGCCACCTTTCGCTCCATCTCAGCCTTAATCTGGTTAAACTCAAGCTGAACTCTCAGTATCTTGCCTTCCTCATGCTCAAGGGACCCCTACGAAACAATTTAGGTTGAATTAGAACTTGTGTATTTTAAAGTCTTTTAAAATGCTTGGTGTTAGCTTTACCTCTGCCTCCTCTAAGGCAGACTGAATTTCACCCTTCTCCTGCTCCAGCTGCTTTCGTGCTTTTTCCAACTCATGGATAGTTTTTCCTCCTTCACCAAGTTGCTCAGTGAGGTCAGAAATTTCCTCTGTGAATAAGAGTGCATGTATTCAGTTTGGTCTGCCTATTTGATATTTATTACATTGTAATTAATAAAGTATTTACCTTGAAGGTTCTTATTCTCCCTCTTCATGGTCTCCAGATGTTCAAGAGACTCTTCATAGGAGTTTTTAAGTTTGAAGAGCTCAGTGCTCAGAGATCTGGCTTCTTTTTGAGCGCTCTCCAGCTCACACTGAGACTCTTCATACTTCTGCTTCCACTCTGACAGGACCTGGACATTATGCATAAAAAAATATTTACCAAACCGAGCTCTCTGCTGTTCATTTTTACAGTAATTAATTTCTAATTTCTTCTTTGGTTGTATGTCTAGATATATAAGGCTATTTCAATTATAAAATGTAAAATACATCTTAAACAACAATGCAGCAACCTTATACTTTATATTTCTCTTTTTAAGTATTTAACTAAAACTTTGTCAAAATGCAAAAGTTTTTGAGGTAAAACTTATATTTTTCCAAAATGTTTCAGTCTGTGACCCACAAAGTGGTGCCAAATTAGACTCATGACCCAAACTTTTGATTCACTATCAAAACATTTCTATAAAATCTACTAACAGTGGGATGTAATCCTATTACAAACAGCATCAATTATCATTTAATTTCTGTAGTGGATCTAAAGACCACTAGTGATTGAAGTCCCCAAATGGACTCAAGACCTCAGCATTGGGAATAAATTAGAATAATAGGCTCTTAATAGGATTTTCTTTATATTAGGGTTAACGATGGTACAAGTAGCCTAACACTTAACAGGTATGTGATGCCTGTGAGTTGCATTTCCTCTTAAAAAATTGAGGTAGCACATGTTGGAAAGATGCATCTGAAGAATCAATCACACTTTAGTGATGAATAGACAAGGAAGAGGTGGCTCTGTATTTGTTGTTGACATACTGTCAGGTTTAGGGTTGATTGACTGATCGTTTTGACATGACTTTAGAATAATTATACCTTGTAGTCCTTTATTCACTCATGAACTCCTCTCCATACCAATGCATTTTTCTAATAGTAATGTTAAATTATCAGTCCTGGGACGTAAGTTTGCCTGTAATTAGTAATTGCTTTTTACAACAGCACAATTAATCCTAAACATTCGCAACAAACGGTTGGGCTAAAAAAAAAGGTACGGTAATCTACTTATCTAGTCTAGATTCCAACCAGAACAAGGAAGAGTTCAACATACTTCTTTTGCAATTTGAGATTTGTTTAAAAAGTCTTTGTCTTATTATTATGTTTACTTATATTTGGTTAAATAAATAATCACAGGCTATACTTTGAGTAATGTGTTATTTAGAAAGTTCTGGTCCGGGATATTTTTAGGAACTAGTGTGACACAGATGAGCCAGAGTTCTAGACATGGTTAACCTGTTTGTTTTCGTGAAGGCTGCCATGCCACTGAACCAGCCTATGAGAGTTTTTGTAATGGGATGTGTTGAGAAAGAGCATTTCTATATGTCTTTGGTTATAGTCGGTTTATTTCCCTGTTACCTCCTTTATTAATGTTACTGTTCTTTTTTTTTAATTAGGGCTTGTTTTGATTTTAAAAGAAATATCCAACATACTTTGTCAAAGTTCCTTTGCTTCTTGTCCAGAGAAGCAGCAGCAGCATTAGACCTCTCCACATCCACCATGAGATCTTCAATCTCATTCTGCAGCCTGTGTTTGGTCTTCTCCAGAGAGGAACATTTAGCATTCACTGCTTCAACAGCCTCCTCAGCCTCCTGCAGACGCTGAGCCAGCTTCTTCCTGTATTAATGAAGGGTTTCATTGGTATTGGTTGCTTTCAGACTTTGCAGAGTCACTCAGATTCAAATGGGATTTACTCACTTAGCTTCCTCCAGTTCCTCAGTTCTTTGGATGGCATCAGTTTCATACTTGGTTCTCCACTGAGCCACCTCAGAGTTGGCCTTAGACATGCTACGCTGCAGTTCAGCCTTGGCCTCCTGCTCCTCCTCATACTGCTCCCTGAGGAGGTCACAGTCATGGCGGGCAGACTGCACAGCATGAGCTAATGCATTCTTGGCCTGAGGGGAAAATGGTCAAGTAGTTATGGCTTTACTTTTTCTTAAAAAAAGAAACATTAATTCTATGTAAGCAAGCACGTTTTCACACCTTTATCTCCTCTTCTAGTTGTCTTTTCAGGTCCTCCAGTTGCTGATTGTAGGAATTCTTTCCTCTTGTGAGCTGAGAAATAAGAGATTCTTTCTCCTCCATTTGTCTTGAAAGCTCATCTGTAGATGTAAAATGATTAGATGCATATATCTTCTCTCATAAGAAGAAGTATTCATTTTATAGAAAATAAAAGCTAACCATTCTCAGCTTGAAGCTTGGCTTTCTGAGTGGTGAAGTCATTAAGGGATCTTTGATATTCATCACATTTGGTTCTATATTCATTTGTTTGATCCTCTAAAGTTCTACAAGTTTTCTCCAGGATAATCTGAAAACAGATGGTGCAGTTAACAGAGCCGTGTATATTTTCATCCATTTTGCTACTTAGTATTTTTTGTCTAAAAAGGTTCCAAAAAACCAACACACCTTGGACTTGACAATCTGCTCCATATTGGAGACCACATCGTCCAGCTCCAGTTTGAGCTCACTCTTCTCCTTCTCCAGTTTCTGCTTGACTCTCTGCAGGTTGTCTATCTGCTCCCCCAGGTCAGCAACAGAGTCAGCTTGTTTCTTCCTAAGTGTGGCTGCGGTGGCTTCATGCTGCAGAGTGGCCTCTTCAAGGTCCCTGCGGAGCTTCTGAAACTCGGCCTCCCTCTTCTTATTCATCTCGATCTGGGCGGCCGTGGCTCCGCCAGCCTCCTCCAGCCTCTCACTGATCTCCTCCAACTCTCTGGCCAAGTCGGCTCTCTGCTTCTCCACCTTGGCTCGAGCAGCTCGTTCTGCTTCAAGCTCTTCCTCCAGCTCCTCCACACGTGCCTGTTGTCAGAGCAGTGGAAGTTTGTAGCATTAGTTCTTGTGTATAGCTTCAATAGTGAGAATATAATGTAAAAGTTTTACCTGCAGCTCTTTCAGCTTCTTCTGGAGTTGACCAATTATTGCCAGCTCATCCTCCAGTTTGCTGTTCAGCTGGTTGATCTCAAAGTCTTTCCTGCAGCATTTTTTTTGTTAGTTTAAGGCTAATAAAACATGGAAAATAATCTTTCTTAAACAAGCTGATTAAATACTGTTATAAAAGTTGTATACTTTTTCATGCGCTCCTCCAGTTGTTGCTTGTCATTTTCTAGATCCATGATGGACTCCTGGGTCAACTTCAAGTCTCCCTCCAGCTTCCTCTTTGCCCTCTCTAGATCCATCCTAATCTTCTTCTCTTGCTCAAGAGACCCTTCAAGCTAAAAATAAATAAATTAATTAATAATATAACTACAATAAAAGCTTTATCTAGCAAAGGTTTGTCTGTTTAAAAACACATGCAAACTTGAGACATTAAGCAAAGCTGTTCTACTAATCAGGTAAACAAAATATGTCAGTCTCTGACATGCAAAATAGAAGTGTGTTTGCTGTCATAAATGGGTAAAACATGGTGATCATCAAAACATCCAAAATACTGGGATGACAATATGCTCATATATTTACGTGCCACTCACACAAATGATCAAACCTGAAAGTGGTTGCGGGGAATTGTTTCTTCATCTACATTAAGCACATCTGAAAGTCAACTGCAAACTTGCAGGGAGGTATCACAGACAACCTCCTGTGCGTAACATATTTTTATGCAGAACTTAAATTAGTAGAGACATATTGCTTTTTCAGCAATGCTGCTTCCAAGAAAAAAATCCTGCATAACTTCATTTTTTAATGTATATTGATAATTCCAGTACACCCTTAGTGGTACATATGAGGAAGGATCCAGATGCCAGAAGCCATTTTGCTTTGTTCATGAATGATTTCATATTTTATGAGTACTGATTATTTTTCTTAGTTTATTTTCTCTTCCTATATTTTCTCCTAATAGCAATCAAAGATGACATTTATGAACGGTGCACATTTGGAATGTGCTAAATAAATCCACTCTGCTCTCACAAACTAAAGAATACACATAATCCTCAGTGAAATAGAGCAGTCTGAGTCATTTTTGCCTCTATTTTACTTAATTATAGCAAATCATCTGCAATTGCCTACTAATAGCATGTGCAATTTCTTTGTTTGCACAAGCAAGTTAGCATTCCTTATTTGGGATCAGGCCCTAAGTGTTTTCTAACAGGTTACAATATTGTCTGCTTACTTTAACATGAGTGAAATTTGTATTTTATGTCTTACATCATCCACTTGCTGCTCCAGCTTCGTCTTGGCCTTGGTCAGAGTATTGACTTTGTCTTCTTCACTCTGCAGGTCATCCAGGGTTTGTTGATGAGCTTCCTGTAAAGCTTTCTTTTCCTTGGTCAGCTTGGCGATGATTTCGTCCAAAGCAGCCATCTCCTCTGTCAGGTTCTTTACCTGATTGATTACCAACAATTTGATTAGTTTATCCTTGCATGAAACCTGCATTTTTTTGTGCTTTTTATGCTTTGTTTGAGGGGTTTTAGAGGTCAGAACTTAGACTTCAATTCATGTCTACAATTAGTAATACAAGCCAATATAAGTTCTCTTAATTTTATGCATCCAAATACTATACTAAACGTTTAACAAACGGAATGTGCTATGCAAAAAGGGTTTAAATTCTGGCCTGGACCTGGACCTGTGGTCACAAATCACATCAGGCCCAATCAGGTCCTTCAGCTTACCTATTAAGTTAATAAGACTACATAAAAAATTGAGTGTGTTTGAATCCATGATCGTAGCTCCATGGATAGATGGATGAATGGAAACTTCTATGCAATCAACTGGCATAGTTAAATCAAATCAGTCACAAAATCTAGTGATAAAAGTACCTGCAACTTTTACTAATTTGATATGTGCATTAGAAATTTTGGACATTAAACTAAGAGCTCCAGTAAGACAGGTGGATTTCCAATAAAAATTTCAGAGGACATTCTCTGTGATATAGGTTCAGCTTAAGCCAGACTGAATAGTACAGGTTTAACACATAGTATTAATAGTACTCTTGTCGCAAGACTGAAAAACACTATCAAAACTTTGCAAACCTTGTTCTCAGTTGCATGTTTCTCCTTCTCCACCTTTGCTAGAGTTAGCTCTAGGTCATCAATATCCTTCTTAAGCTCAGAGCACTCGTCTTCCAGCTTCCTCTTCTTAGCAGTCAGCTCAGCATTCATCTCCTCCTCATCCTCCAATCTTTCAGTTAGTTCTTTGATTTTTGCTTCCAGTTGGATTTTATTTTTGATCAGCCCCTCACATCTCTCCTCGGCATCACATAGATTATCTTGTTCCTGTCAAACACGAGTTATTATTGTATTTTCTTCTTTGGTGATTGTTTTCTTTACAAATTATATGGTTATATTATATTGCCCTTTTCTTACAGCCTGGACTTGGAGCTGCAGGTCATTCTTCTCTTGGAGAAGAGAGACCATTTTCTCCTCCAGCTCTTTCCTGCGAGCTTCAGATTTTGCATAAGCCTCCTTCAGCTTCAGGAACTCCTCCTTCATGTTGGCCATCTCCTTTTCTGCTTCAGCAGATTTCAGGAGAGGTTTGATCTTAAAGAACAACTTCATCCAGGGCCAATTCTTGACCCCCATGAAGGCACGGATGTTCCATTGGATTACCAATAAAGCATCTCTATAAAGAAAGAATTGTTCAAAATGATTTGTGAAAAAATCTAACAAAAAGTCTGTTACCATAAAAAGTATTATAAAAATTGGTGGTTGTGTGAAGCAAACCTGCGTTCCACCATCTTCTGATACTCAATGCGAGACAAAAGACCACGGGACCTGGCTTGAATAGCAGTAATGATTTTGGAGAGACGCTCATCCCTCATCTCCTCCAGCAGACCCAGCAGACCAGCTTTAAAGAACACCTAAGACCAGCATTAAAGATTTCTATGTTGTTTCCTGCCTTCTTCATTATATATGTTTTTATTTTAGGTTTTTGTTAGAAATTCTTGGTACCTTTGTGTGTCCAAACTTGTACTGGTTATGGTCAATATCAAGGGATCCAAGAAGTTTTTCAGCTCCCTTTCGGCTGTCAATGAACTGTCCCTCAGGGATGGCAGCAGGATTCAAGATACGATACCTGGAAAATCCCACATCTTCGTCACACATTAAATCATGGCCTTTTAATTTTTGGACATACTAAAGTGATACCTCTGCTTGAAGTCTCCATAGAGGATCCTGTTGGGGAAGCCTTTCCTACAGATCCTGATGCCTTCCAGCACGCCGTTACAGCGCAGCTGGTGCATCACCAGAGGGTTCTCCATGGCCCCAGGAGTCTTAGTCTCATTGGGGATGATGCAGCGCACAAAGTGAGGGTGGGTAGACCTCAGGTTGGTCATTAGCTTATTCAGGTTCTCCTATAATATGGTAAGAACAAACATGTGAAACTTTGCCATTTAAAGTGCACGTATGTAGGATATAAGGGAAGATCTGATTATACTGCACCCTATGAAGGGCAGACACAGTCTGAAAGGACGATCCTTTTTTCTTCTTCTCTTTTTTACCTTCCGTGCCTTCAGAGTGTGCTTTAACGTAAAATGTGTTAATACAAAAAAATAATGCATGCAAACTATGGTCAGAGATTGTCTATATAAAGGACACACTTATGCTGGAATACCTGAATCAGAGCCTGCATAATTTGCAAAGAGAGTAGCAAGCAACTTGAGTGTAGACTTCTGGTACAGCCCAACTACGGTCTCATTCAGAGGGTCCTTGTTCTTCACCAACCAGTTGTTGATATTATAATCAACAGTCCCAGCATAATGAACCAGGGCAAAATGGGCCTCTGGTTTTCCTTTAACAATCCTGGGTTTCTGGAAGTTGTTGGATTTCCCCAGATGATTGTCATAAAGCTTAGCTTTAAACGTAGCATCACTGGCTTTGGGAAACATGCACTCCTCTTCAAGGATGGACATGATACCCATGGGCTAAAATTAAAACATGAAATGTTAAAATCAGATTATTGAATTTATCAATTTATTTAATAATCTGGTTTCTCACCTTTTCAATCAAGTCAATACAGGCCTGTAGATCCATACCAAAGTCAATAAAAGTCCATTCAATCCCCTCTTTCTTGTACTCTTCCTGCTCCAGCACAAACATGTGGTGGTTGAAAAACTGTTGCAGTTTTTCATTGGTGAAGTTGATGCACAGCTGCTCAAAGGTATTGAACTGGACAGAAATATGACTTTTATTAATGTTTTCATTTATTTTACTTTGATATATCTGGTTATTATTTGCAAATAAGTTTGCTTACATCAAAGATCTCAAACCCAGCAATATCCAGCACACCAATAAAGTACTGACGTGGCTGCTTTGTTTCAAGTGAGTGGTTGATTCTCATGACCATCCACAAGAACATTCTCTCATAAACAGCTTTGGACAAAGCTCCAATAGCATAGTACACCTGTAAATGGGCAGGGAGCCCCAGTTGGAAGAGAAAAGTTCAGGTTTACAATGGAGCACCTTGGCTTCTGAGAATAAAGAACTTTATTTGTGGAAATTTCAGGTTACAAGCAGTGATCTAAGGCAACTCTTATTTTACCTGATTAACACTTTGTCCCTTGGTGACCCACTCATTCCCTACTTTGACTCTTGGGTGACAGAGACTTTTGATGAGGTCAGCAGAGTTCAGGCCCATCAGATAAGCTGCTTTGTCAGCATCTAAAAGAAATATAAACAGAAGCGCTTATTAAACATTGATGTTTAATTATTGGTGGGAGTGGCGGCCTAGTGATTAGGGCATTGCGCTTGGATGCAAGAGGTTCTGTGTTCAAGACCCACTCCCACAGACTGCCACTCGCAAGACTCTTAACCCCCACACTGCTCCCCGGGTGCTGCACAATGGCAGCCCACTGTTCCCTAAAGGGATGGTTTAAAAGCAGAGAGTGAATTTAGTTGCTTTGTACTTGTGACAGTGGAGAATAAAGTTGAATTCTTCTATTCTGTATGTGCTTCTTTAAAATCTATTTTTTTACTTTTGCTTGTAGCACTTTAAGATACTTATGTAAAGTGCATGTAAACAATATTAGTTATTATTATAATGTACTTCATTGTCCTTTGACATGGGAAAAGAAAACTTTTTTGCACGTCTTATCCTTTGCGCAAAAAGTCCTTGTAGTTCACCCTCAACACATCCACCTATTGTAAGTAGTCCAAACATGATTTAATGCTCCTTATTCTGATTCTTTGAAAATGAAGTCAAAGGGTCTAAATTCTGACAAGGTTTTTCTCACCTTCAGTGCCATCAGATTCTGCCTGCTCCTCGCGAGGCCTCTGCTTAAATTTCATGTTGCCAAAGTGCATGACAGCACCAGTAAGTTTGTACACTGAGTTTTTCTCCTCTTGAGTAAAGCCCAGCACATCGAAGGCACTCTGAAGAAAGCAGAGGAACATCTATTAGATCATACTGTTACACTCGCTAAATCTTTTGGAACTAATTTAACAGTTCAGTTTGTCTGTGTTTTGTTGTCTTGAAATAAGTTGGAACTAACAGCGAAAAGCTTACATCAGTTGCCAAGAGTTCTTCTCCATCATCTATGGAGGCCACTTGAGTTTCCCCCTGAGAGATGAATGCGTAGTCGTAGGGATTGTTTGTAACCAGCATCATTTCTGGAGAATGTAAAATGAGAAAGATCAAAATAACATCCAGCGGAAAGAAACACTTTTTTTCACATGAGGGTTACTATTCTGTGCTAACCCAGGAGTTCTGGTTTCTTGTTTGAAAGAATCTGGTAGAAAATGTGGTAATCACGCTCAGCCTTGAGCTGGAAGGTCACACGAGACTTCTCCAGAAGGTCTTAGGAGAACAAGAGAGAGACCACAGCAATAAAATATATGAGACCATGGGTGTAAAGACAAAAAACAGTGTTTATACTTACATGTCTCAATATCAGCAGAAGCTAATTTTCCTCTGGTATCAAAGTGAATCCGGATGAATTTACCCTGAAATGATAAATATTATAATGACAAAACTACTCCTGTTGCTGTCTAGGCATTGGTCAGTTATTGATACCAAGTTGTTCCAAAGTAAAACATTTAGCACACTGTAAGATGTATGTCTGGTGTTCAGTCATAAACCATGATGATCATTTTGGACATTGGCAACCATGTTCATACTTTATTTTTACAACTTTGACCTGCAGTCAGCTGTCAATCACCAATTTCTAATTGCTGCAAAGCCCCCTCCCCTATAGACAGTATCACAAGACACTCCTACAGGAAATGCAATTCTGCCCCTCATGGTGTTTGAGGAGAAAACTCCAAACTCACTGAAGTCTGTCTCTCTTGTCTGTGAGGCTCTGCAAAGGTTCATATCAAACAGTCTTAGCATGGAAGGCCCTTGCAAAGGACCAGCAACTGCAAACAGACCAGGCTAAGAGGACCTGATGGTTGAAACCAAGAGCAAATTGTTGCAAAACAGACTGTAACATTTCTCTTTTAATTTTATGAGGGGCATTCAATAAGTAATGCCCCTGACACACTTACAGATGTTTAATCCAGCTGAAATTTTGCATGTGAGGTTATTTAAACCTCTATAGATTGAGTAGCAAATTACAGCTCTGAACTATTTATGGTTTCTGACTGAAAAGTCTGAAAAGGAGCCTGTTGAGTGTCGAGCAGTGATCCGGTTTTTCTATTTGAAAGGATTGACACCACGGTAAAACTAAAGTAACTTATGGTGATGATGCCTTTTATATGATGTGGCAAAATGTTTTACAAGGTTATATTATGGGACATTTTCACTATAAGTTACTTTCATCTGATCAAAAGTCTCCCGTTGCATGTGTCCTTTCAAATGCAAAAAAACAGACTTGACTCAGTTTGAACATCTGTAAATCAGAAACCACAATTAGTTCAGAGCTGCAATTTGCTATTTAATCTATAGAGATTTTAATAATTTCACAAGCAAAATTTCAGGTTGATCAGGGGTCAGAGGGATTACTTATTGAATGCCCCTCATATGACTTTCTGATGCCAGAGGCTGGGGGTGTGGAGCCTCGAGAACAAAGAACTTCCCTGATGTGGGGTACCTGGCTGGAACAAAGTACTCCCCTGTTGCAGCCTGCTATGCTAAGCTGCAGGTCACAGCAACTCAGCCTTTTCCAAAACAGAGAAGAGCAGAGGTAGAGGTCTGGCACATTTAGGGACAGAGTTCTCCTGTTAAATAATTTTTCTGTCTTTTGATTTTTGATATTTCATAAGTTTACTGTTGTCTATGGGTCAAGCTACTAGCTTGAGCTGCGTGGTACGCCATGTTGACATGTTTGAGCCCTTGTTTATAAAGCTAAAACAAGCTTTATTTTAAACACCAATAAAACATTAGCATTCATATGTTTTGTCATATGCTCATTACGTTTTGATGATCAAATTATCATCAAAAATAATTTTATGGGAGCCCTCATATCATCTAGTTGCTCAATTAGAGAATGTTAAGAATTAATTAACTGGAGTGTATTGATTTAGTGAATAATTTAATAAAAAATTATTCTGCCACATTTATTCACCTCTTGGATTGGCACTGTGAGTTCGTTTAAACACATTCTAATTATTCTAAATTGGTCAAAAAGTAAAGTGATCACATTCCAAATTCTTCAAGATAAATTTGGTTCTCAAACATTACATCATTCTATTGACTATGGTTTTGAACCATGTTTTTCCTAATGGTTTGTGTACATAGCAGCTTAGTTTTATTTCAGTACTTTACTCATTGAATTTCAACAGAAATATGTTTGACTTGGAGCTGAATAAATTTTGTTAATCATATTTTGAATGGAGAGATAGGCACCAGCACCCCTGTGACCCCATTTGGGATAAGCATGATGGAAAATGGATGGATGAATGGATATTTTGAATGAAAGTTGAGGTTGATTTATAACATATATATGCAGAGTTATCTGACCATGTTTAGTGCACGATTCCCACTTTCATTTGTTGTTCTAACACATTATTTTTAGTTTACAGAACAATATATGACAGTCTTAATATTATCTGATTAAATAAGATATTTAACACTCATACTGGGATAGGAAATTAAAAATTGTAATTGCACAACACTGGTATACAGCCATGTGCACTTACTATCTGCTCTGATAGATGTACTAATAATAGCTTGTTATACTTTGAATGATGTGTTACAGTAGTCAGAATGCTAATTTATAAAGGAACTGTACTTTTTTGTTAAAGTGTTTTTTTTTTACATATATTTCTTTTATCTTTAATTAAACCTCCTGTTCCACTACAATGTATTTTCCATCCATACCCATTACTGATTGTAAAATTGAATACAGATTATGAAAGAAACAAAAAAAAAAAAAAACAGACACTTACAAATCTGGAGGAGTTGTCATTCCTGATGGTCTTGGCATTACCAAAGGCCTCCAGAGCAGGGTTGGCCTGAATGATTTGATCCTCCAGGGTACCCTATCAGACAAGCACAAAAGGGCTCTACACATTTGTACATAAATAGAATGACGTTAAATTCAACAGGATTCTTGTAGTTTAAAAGTCTGAATTTTTTTTTCCTTTTCTTTTTTTAGTTATCGTACAGTTGCAACTTCAGGAGGAAATGAGGGGCAAATAGAGTTTATTATCCTGCTCCTATAATTGTATATTGCTTTATAATTGTATATATTTGCTTTCTGTTATTATTATTTTTTTTTTTTTATTGGTTTCTGTTATTTGTCCATCAGCCCTGGCACCTGACAAAGCTGCTCACATACCTTATCTTTTGCATTGGGGTCTTTCTTAACACCTCCAGCTGCAATACTTGCAAAATACTGGATGACTCTTTTGGTGTTCACAGTCTTTCCTGCACCAGATTCTCCACTGTAGAAGCAAAGTTACACATAAAAAACAAATTCATTAACGAATGAGGACTAAGATTTATATATATATATAACTCCCAGGCCTCTGGTAGAAGACCCAAGCTTGAGGATGACACATACCACCCCACGAGGGGTGAGAAAACAGTTTGTTTGTTTTTTATACTGTATATGTGTGTACTTCATGTGGAAAGTATTACATACGTGATCAGAATTGACTGGTTTTCACGGTCTGTAAAAAGTTTTTGAAAGACGTTTTTGTTAGTGAGTAAAACTAAATCTGTTCAGAATGCTTTTTCACAGGACTTAATTTTCTATACCTGCCAGCATGTACTGATAGGCATTATCAGAGATGGAGAAGATGTGAGGAGGAGCTTCACTCCTCTTCTTTCCTCTGTAGGCAACGACCACCTCCTGGTTGTAGACTGGTAGCCACTTGTAGGGGTTGACAGTCACACAGAACAGCCCAGAGTAGGTCTGAGGGCCCATAGAAAGTCACATCCTTTCAGAGACGGTTTCATCTAGTAGAGCTTTAGCTTCATAAGCAATCTTCTGAATAGTTTTCTTGTTTATTATGCAATAGCGTACTTACATAGATCATCCATGCTGCGTAACGCTCTTTGAGGTTAAACAGCACAGCTGGTTCATGGAGGAAGGTCAGCATAGCCATGTCCTCAATCTTGTCAAACTTGGGAGGGTTCTGTTGCAGAACGTCTGCCTGTTTGACAGTAACAGTCTGGTACAAAGAAAATTTAACACATTAGTCGTATTTTTTGCAATGTACAACATCACAAAAAAACATTTCATTGCTTTTATTTAGATGTTGGGAGATTAAAGGAATGCAAACCTCTCTGTGAAACTAAAGCAACATTTTTCCCTGTGAAAGCTTGTTGCAAACTGCAAAATTAACTTTTCAAGCTTTCTTCAAGCATTTGTTTTTTCTTTCCAAACTTTCATAAAATCCATGTTTGTCAAGAGTCCACCTAGGATTTTTTTTACTAGAGGGAAGGGGGCTTAACACATATGTAGACCAGACTTTTCAAAATGTCTTTAAAAGAAAAAGTGTTAATTCAAATGACATGAACACCTGAGAGCACCAGGTCAATTTTATACTATATTTTATTACATATTTTATCTACCGTATTACAGATTTATACTGAAATATTGACTCTCAGACAAACCCACTTATAAAAAGTGTTCTGGTCATTATACTGTAATCACATATTATCTAAACGGATATATCGAAAGTGTTTTTTTCATAAAACATGTTATTTAGGAATGTGATGCATGCATCAATAACTACAGGGCTCACCTTCCCATTTTGAGTCTCCACAGTGGCCTTGTCTCCCTCCCGGCTGACGATGGTTCCCTTCACAAACTCCTCCACCGGATCCGGGACAAAGCATTCCTTCTTGATGTCAAAGGCGCGTGTGGAGGCCTCCATACGCTCCTTGTCCGACTTCCTTAGGTATGGTGCAGCTGCACCAAACACGGACATTTCTGCATCCCCCATGGCTGCAGTACTGCAAAGGCCATCGGAAAAATTAGATTTACTTTTTTAAGCAACATGCATTTACTCTTCAACGTATATTTAGTAATCATACTTTTGTACATTGTTGCATGAAGGTTTTATTGACAATTTAGCATACTGAGAATATAAATATGTGTTAGATTTAAAGTATATTTAATTAGCTGCAATAATTTCCTCATTTACCAGTGGCTTTAGCTCAGGTGAAAGAAGAGCTCAGCGTGAAAATCACAGATTCACCTACAGGAAGCAGAAACATATTTGAATTAAGGCACAATTATTTTCTTTTCCATTGGTGGAATAATTAGATCAATTTTTCCATTTAGTGGTGTAATATCAAGTAAAAACCAGAAGTAAAAAAAGGCAGTGGTTGTTCGTACTTACAGGAGCCAGGAAAAGATGGAGCATTTGCTAAACCTCCAGGGAAGCCAGGGATCAAATATATAACCCCAGATAACCTGCCTTACAAGGCCAAGGACACCACCCTGACCTGATAACACCATGCACAATCACACACACTCATCCTTATCATCAGGTGCCCAATCCAACACATACCACAGTGCACACACACATGCATGGATACTCTGAGGTAATCATCACTTTTATCACATATAAGAGAGCACAGTTTGACTCTGCAGATGTCTGGCTGCTCGCTATGCTTATTCAGTTCTACCTTCAATGAACAAATAATTGGATTTTACAGGGAACAGATCCAGGAATTTTCAGTCACATAACTTGTCCATGACTCACTGCAGCCTACCATCCCTATCTAGGATCAGCTCCACTTTTGCCTGTCACCTCTTGTGTGACATGGATTTTCCGAGTGGAGGCTGCTCATGAACAGAAACCAGGTTCCATTTTTCGCATCCAGGAGGTGCAAAGCGGCAGAGGGAGACACAAGGAGTTTAAAGCTAATCCTGTTATGATTTGATTTCATATAATTTTTCTTTATTAAATAGATTTCATTTTGACAATTTGGCTGGTGAGAAACTGTGAAAAGATAAAAATGTTCTACTTGAATTGGAAGATTTAATGTCTTTCTAGAAGATCTAATGGTTTTTGTCTTCTTCATATTTTTCACATTTTTTCTAACATAAATAGCAACCATTTTAATGTGTCTTCTTTGTCCAGCAGGAGACCTCAGAATTATACTGCAAGTAGGAGGTGGATTAACCACAAACACGAGAATAATTATTAATTTTACAAACAAAACTGAAGTTTCTTTTCTTGGTTGTTTAGTGATGTGGCAGAGGTTTGCAGTGTGGGGTAAAGATGTGTGAACTTTTACCCTGTTTGTACTGCTAAAGCTAAACATGTCAAGGAATCTACAGGAAGGGGAAAAGATACAGGTAACAGCAACTAAGGACATAAAAAGAAAATAAATCATCTTGATGAAAATGTGGAACCAAATTGGTGATTTTTCTCCTTTGTTTCTGTTTCTGCTGTAACTCAGCAGAGAAAAGGCCTCACACACCTTCACAAACACACATACCCAGCAGGATATGACTGTGCCATGGATTAGGAATTTACCTGCTTTACTCAGCTAACATTAAGCCTAATCCAGTGAAACCCATTTAGAAGATAAAAAAGCGACATTACTAAATAATCAGCATCATGGAAAACAAGAAACAAGCTGGACTGATCAGAGTGGAAGACTTGGAGAAGTTTAATGGGTTTCGCTGGCATTAAACATCTCACAGAGCTATGGTCAGTCCATCATTTTTTTTTTTTTTATTGAAAGGAATATGGCTCAACTTCTAACCTTTTTTTTTTTTTTTTTTTGAAAGGAATATGGCTCAACTTCTAACCCACCCATATACAGACCTAACTTGACAAAGCAAGCAAGGGCAGCAGAAATATCTGCCACTCCTGCAAATCAAACATGGGCCCCTGGGCTGCTTCTCTAATGCTCTCCATCCCCAGAAGCACAGGTGAAATAATTTATTAGTTAGATAAGAAGTAGTTGAGCACCAAACAAATTGGACCTCTAAGATACAGAGCCAGGATGATAGCCATATAAAATGTAGGGAAAAGACAAAAAGATGATCATCTCATCAGATGAGACCAAATAGATTTTTTGTACAAAACGCTATTTGATGTGAAAACCTACATTACACACCAGCCTTCTTTACACCTTGAGAGCTGGTTAGAGTTAATGGGTGGATGGATGGAGCTGAACATCCTGGCTAAAAAAATCCTGAAGGAAAACCTATTTGAGGCTCCAAAGAACAGAACAGAGGTTCTCAGTAGAACAACTACAGCACTGACCTCAGACATATAAGTTGAGAAACAATCTAATGGCTGTAATGTCCTTTATTAATTTCTGTTGAATCGTCACATCAGATTCCAACAAAATACCTTCAACTTGCGGCTGTAATCTAACAATATCTAAAAAGTCTATATGTATATCTATCCAAGGCCCTTTTATGTTCAACTTTAAACTTCCACATCACGTCTTTCTTAACAAAAGGAACTGTGATAACCAGATTAAAAGGTTTTTAAAACACTTCGGAGTGTATCTGAGGTCAGATTTTATATAATCTATTACTTCCACTCATAACACATTCTTTTATCATTTAAGATCCCTACAAGTCCGTAATGAAGGTATGAGGGTCAATATAAATGCACTGGTTAAACAGAAGTGTGATCTCAATCTTAAACATAAAGTACGCAATAATAGAAAATTATTTAACTGGGGTTAGTTATGTATAAGATTAGAAATTAGAGTGTATGAATTTTAGAGATGCTGCTAAAGTTGTCTGGTGGCCAGAATACTGTCAGAAATTATGGTTCCCGGGGGTGAAAGCTGACAAGTGGAGGAAGGAAACACTTAAAGGATTAGATTTTCTAAAATGCCTCTGTGTCTAAAGATCCTGCTAGGAGGAGAACAGGACACTTCAAAAACCTCTTGAAGGGCTCTAGAGGTCAAATAAGGTCTACAACTAACAATTCAAAGCTCTTTGAGTTAAAGAAATAAACCCTTCTTAAATAGAGGGGAAAACGTTACAGAAGACAACAAATATGTGAATCTGTTTCTACTGATATTTCCACATGTCAGTAAATTGTATTCAAAACATATTTGTGCTATTTTGAAACTCCTCCCAGACAGACATTTGTTATTGTACTTAACCTATGATAAATGTATTCTTTGCATGACAATAAAAATATTTGGCTACTGATTTTGCATATTTTTGCCTTTCAAAATAATAGTACATGTCTTTGACCACTAAGCCTAAATAAATAGAATATAGAGCTGTATGTCTTAGTCCTACAATTTATTAGGATAAACTATTAAAACATTTACAAATACTTCTAATTAGATAGACGCAAGAAAATGGATGAGGGTGTATTGGGAATATAAAATATAGCAATATCTAACACCTTAAGATCTGGCAAATTAAAACATGATGATATTTCTCAATGAAGTGAGGCTCTGTCTTCCAAAGTACTTCCCGTTTCTGCGTCATTTAAATCTGTAAGGAGAAAATGTCTGAGCCACTATCATGAGCCCAACATATCTTAGGTAGATAGAAACCAGCATAGTTGAAATCACACAAATACTTACACTATATAATTTTTTTTGACTGAGTCATGTCTGACCATCTTGCTCAAAGATGTTTTTTCAGCTTTGGCTCCAACTTAAAGACGGAAGACAGATGGAACAGACAATAGTTAAAGCCAATCCAAACAAAATGTTCACTATGCTTCATATCGTTGTCTATTTGGAAGACCAGTTTGTGGCCAATGCCATGCCTGTCTTGATATTTTGCATAAAAATTTCCTTATGGTGCTTTCTATATTGTGAGCTGCATCACTCACTCCTGGAACAAAACACTCCCACATAATGCTGCTGCTGTCATACATCACACATGGGATAATGAGCCCAGACTTGCGATCTTCCTCCTCTTAACTCTGAATATGACGATAATCTACATGAATATATGTTTGAATTTTATGTTATCTCACTACAGTACATGCCTGTAAACATTAAGGTCTTGGTCAGAGTTTTGTGTATCTAATAATGTTAAGATCAATATGAAATCCCAAACACATTCTGGAATGGTTCTGGCTGAAAATCTATGAACCAATTAGCTTTCTGCTATCTAGTACTCAAATGTCTGCAAACAGAGAATGCAGCAATGGAAAAGTGAACACTGCCTTGATTAGGCTAATGGAGTTCACATGTGGGTATGTTGCACCAAAAACTGAAAATTGGGGACTCCTCCAAAATAATACATATAGTTTCCATATAGGCTCCTTTTCCCTCCATAAAAGACGTTTCATCCCAACGCTGTGTGTCCCGAGCCCGTAACACCATCAATCACCCCTCAAACTCCCACGATGGACTGCTCCTCCTGCTGCCGTCTGGGAAGAGGCTATGCAGCATTCAATGCAGATTCTGCAACAGTTTCTTCCTCGCTGCCATCAGACAGCTGAACTGTTGAAAAAACTCTAAATCATGTCACAGACTCTGCATCACACTGACAACACCAAACCAAAAAATACTGCATATTTGCACTCTTTAAATTAATGCTCTGAATCTCCATATCAATGCATTTTTTGTGCCATGTTTTTCTCCCAAACTAAACCAAACCAACCTTTGTTGCTACTGATTTGTGGTTTCTTTATGGTGCTTCCATAAAACTGCTTCACCTTTCTGTTTGTTTAAGGACCTAAGTGGAATGATGATTCATATATTAAAATCATAAAATCTTAGACAGGACAAAACTTAACTGGATTACCAGGTGGGGAATTATGAACCAGATTTTTTTACATAGTGTTAAACCTTGTATTGTTTGGTTTAATCTGTATAGTGGTGAACCAATGGGTCAAAAGTTCAAAGTGGCCAAAGGGGACCATTTGAATCAGAACATTGTTATTTTGGACTTTAACTCACTTTTTTTCATTGTGATTTAAGCGTTTAAATAATTTTGTAGCTTTTTACAAGCACAATGTTATGCTAACTTAGATCAGCTTTGCATCTGCAGAGTTGCA